GGTGAAATCACAACAGATCTTGCAGAAATCACTATCTACCTCAACAATTTGTATTATAGTAAGATGGAAAATGCAGAAGAAATGGATAGACTGCTACATACATATGAATTACCAAAGCTGAATCAAGAAGATGTAAAATTTCTAAATAAAGCAATAATCAATGAAATTGAAAATGTAATTAAAAACCTAGCAACAAATAATCACAGCAGACTTCTCAACAGAAACCAGAGATTGAAGTATTTTAAGCACTACAATAAAACCTCAAACCCAGAATGATGTACCCAACATATTTCAAGATCAATAGAAAAATAAGATACTTCTATGATACAGAACACTTGAACAAATTCATGACCACAAAACCAGCACTCCAGATGGAAAGTTCTAAAACACATTCTAGGCAAAGATAATGAAGACAACAATTTAATGAATCACAGTAGAATGATCCAGTAGGCAAGCCACGCAACTAAAGAGGTGAAAGAAAGGGAATCATCAATGGCAAACAAGTCAATACATATCAATTATTACCATCAATGTAAAAGGGTCTTAAATGATCAATCAAATGAAACACAGTGTCAGAATGAATCAGGAAACAAGATCCAACAATATGCTGCATACAAAAAACTCACTTAACTCGAAAAGAAATTTACAGTCTGAAAGAAAATGGATGGTATACAATATTTCATGTGACAGGAACCCACAAACAAAGAGGGGTAGCTATTTTATTTGGAGACAATGTCAATGTTATGGTTTGTGTCTAGATGTTGCCCTAAAGCCTCATGCAGTCATAGAGTGGGGCAGGCTTTTGAAGGTGGCTGAATCTAGGGTTTGTGACTGATTCACTGTCCAATGCTGGGATTAAAAGTGTGAGTACTACACCCACCCTGGGGCAGGGATAGAAAGACCCTTCTCTCTCTCTCTCTCTCTCTCCCTCCCCTCTCTCTCTCTCACTTGTTCACATGCTTTTACTGTCTTTCACCACAGTGAACCCTCTGCCATGTTCCACCCTGCCTTGGAGCCAGCTAATTATGGACTGAAACCTCTACAAACTGTGAGCTAAACCAACTTTCCCCTTTAACTTTGGGTGTCAGCTATTTTGTCTCAGCAATGAGAGAAAAGTAACTAAGTGGATTTCAAGCCAAAACTGATCAGAAAAGATAAAGAAGGTCACTACATCTTTGTCAAGGGAACAATCCAAGAGGAAGAGATAACAATCATAAATATTTAAGCACCAAATATCAGCACACCCTATGATGTAAAAACAAACATTAATGGACATGAAAAATCAAATAAGCATTAATACAACTATAAGAGAGAACCTCAATTTCCCAGTGTCACAAATAGATCAACTAGACAAAAACAAAAAAAAAAATCAATAAAGACATACCACTGCAGAACTCAACCTTTGAACAAATGGACTGAGCAGATATCTACAGAGTGTTCCAACCCACAACAGAATACACATTCTACTCAGCTGCACATGGGACGTTCTCCAAAAGAGACCACATACTAGCCTACAGGTCATGCTTAAGTAAATGCAAAAGAACTGAAATTTTTCCCATGCATATTATCAGATCATAATACAATAAAACTGGAAATCAATGGCCAAAGAAACCACAAATACTGCATAAAACACATGGAAATTAAGTAACACCCTCCTGAATAACCTGTCAGTCACAGATGAAACTAAAGAAGTAATTAGTTTCTACAATTAAACAGTAATACCAATACAACATACTGGAACTTATGCAACACAATGAAAGCATTCCTATAAGAGAAATTTATAGCAGTGAATTCCCACATCAGAAAAACACAAAAAGCTCAACAGACAAACTAATGCAGAATCTCAAGCTTCTAGAAAAACAGCAAGTTTACCCAAAGCATGTACAAAGGAGGAAATTATAAAGATCAGAGCAGCAATTAATACAATGGAGACTAAGAAAACAATACAAAGAATCAATGAATCAAAGAGTTAGTTTTTTGAAAAAGTAAACTGACAAACCCTTAGCCAACCTTAACAAAAAAAGAAAGAAAAGACTCAAAACCATGGAATTAGGAAAGAAAAAGGGGGAAATCACAACAGATCCTAAAGAAATCCACAAAATCATCATACCTACTTTTGAGAACCTGTAGTCTAACAAGATGGAAAACACAGAAGAAATGGACAGATTCCCAGAAACATATGAATTACCAAAGGTGAATCAGGAAGTTACAGAAATTCTTAATAAGCCAGTATCAATAAAATTGAAGATGTAATTTAAAAACTACCAACAAAAAAATCCCCAGACTCTGATGGGTTCACTGCCGAATTTTATAGACTAAGATCTAATGCCACTACTCCTAAAACACTTTAATGAAACTGAAAGGGAAGCAACACTCCCAAATTCATTTCTAAGAAGGATCCAACCAAAATCAGAGAAGGATCCAAGCAAAATACAGAATTACATGCCAAGTTCCTTAATGAACATAGATACAAAAATCCTCAATACAATACTGACAAACAGAATGAGGGAAATAATCAAGAAGATTACATACCTGACTTAGTAGGATTCACCCCAGGGATGCAGATGGTTCAATATATGAAACTCAATAAATGTTATACATCACATTAACAGAACCAAGACTACGAACTATATGATATGATCATCTCAATAGATGCACAAAAAGCATTTGACAAAGTCCAACGCCCATTCATGATAAAAATCCTAGAGAAACCCAGAACAGAAGGTCTGTATCTCAATCTGACAAAGGCCATCTATGACAAAAACTGCCAACCTCATACTAAATGATCAAAAGTTGAAAACTTTCACTCTAAAATTAGGAACAAAATAAGGATGTCCACTATCATCACTCTATTTAATATAGTTCTAGAACCATTAGCTAGAATAATTAGACAAGAGAAAGAAATAAAAGGAATAAGGATAGAAAAAAAAGAAGTTAAATTATCATTATTGGCAGATGACATGATACTCTTCACAGAACATCCCAAAAACTCTACTAAAGACTCCTAGATTTAATATCCAGATTCAGCAGTGTAGCAGAATACAAAGTCCATACTCAAAAATCAGTACCATTCCTACACACAGATAACAAACTCACAGAGAGAAATTAAGGAAACAACAATAGCATCAAAGAAAATGAAATACTTAGGAATCAATCTAATGAAGGAAATAAAAGAACCTTTACACTGAAAATTATCGTACTCTGAAAAAGGAGATTCAAGAGGTTATCAGAAAATGGAAAGATATCCCTTATCCTTGAATAGGAAGAACCAATATAGTGAAAATGGCCATACTCCCAAAACTTTTATACAGACTTAAGGCAATCCTAATCAAAATACCAAAAGCATACCTCACAGAACTAGAAGACACCATCTTAAACTTCATTTGGAACCAGAAAAGACCTATAACAGCAAAAGCAATTCTAAGGTAACTAAGCAAGGAAGGTGGTATCATAATCAACTTGAAATCATACTACAAAGCTTCCATGATTAAAAACAGCATGGTTCTGGCAAAAAACAAAACAAAACAAACAAAAAAAAAAACACATGAAAATCAATGCAACAGACAGAAGATGCAGAAATAACTCCACTCACCCTTAGTCACTTTATCTTTGACAAAGGGGCCAAACACCTTCACTGGAAGAAAGATAACCTCTTCAATAAATGGTGTCGGAAAACTGGGTTTCCATATGCCAGAGATTAAATCTAAATCCACATCTCTTACTTGTACTAAACTAAAATCAAAATGAATCAAAGATCTAAATATTAAAACACAAACACTTACTGTGCTGGGAGATAAAGTAAGTAAAACTCTTGAAGACATAAGTGTACGGATAGACTTTATAAACAAAACCTCAGTCCCATAGGAAATATTACAAAGAATCAACAACTGGGATCTTGCCATGTAGAAAAGCTTTTGTATAGCAAAAGAAATCATCAACAGAGTGAACAAACAACCAACAAAATGGGAAAAATTTTTTTCCCAGCTATTTCTCAAACAAAGGACTAATATCTGGAGTATATAGAGAACTCAAAAAAATCAAACCCCACCCCCCAATTTACAGACCCAATCCAAAAATGGATAACTGAAACTGAATAGACACTCCTCAGATGAAAAAGTACATACAGCAAATAAATATATGAAACAATGTTCAGCATCAGTGATCATTAGAGAAATGCAAATTAAGACAACACTGAGATTCCATCTCATTCCAGAAAAAATAGATACATCAAAGGTATCAACCAATAACAAATGCTAGAGAGTCCTTGGGAGAAAAGAAACTCTTCTCCACTGCTGATGGGAGTATAAATTGGTACCATAAATATGAAACTCAGTATGGGTCCACGAAACTAAAACTAGCAATTTCATCTGACACAACTATTCCTCTTCTTGGTATCTTCCCACAGGAGTTAAGCCTCACACCACAGTAATATATGCACAACCATGTTTATAGCAGCATAATTTACAATAGCTAAATCTTGGAAACAGCACAGATGCTCATCATCAAATGAATGGATAAAGAAAATGTGGCTTTATATACAATAGAGTACTACTCTGTCATAAAGGAGGATAAACCTACCACAATTTTATGTAAATGGATGCACCTTTAGACTATACTTTTAAGTGAAATAAATTGGACGCACATGTTTAAATGCTGCATTGTTTCTCCTGTGTGAGAAACTGAAAGCGCAAATGAAGACCAGAATGGATGATAGATGGTTTGAGAAGTAGGAATAAAATGTTCAAATGGGAAAGGGAAGAAGGGAGGGGGAAGGGAAAAGGGAAAAAATGGAAACAAAGCTTTTGTAAATAGTGAGGGGGAAAAACATTTGAAGGGAGGAGAGGGGAATGGGGAAGAAAGAATCAAGATATATTACATATAAGTACAAATTCCCTATGATGAATGTGATCTTTATGTATATCAAAATTATACCAATAAAAATAATTTAAAAGCTATTTCACAGTTTTTATAGTTGAGAATGTTGTAAAGTAAGCACCAACATTTACAGTATGCACTTGTGGTGGTCGATGATGCACTGTGAGCTGAGGTCCTGCTGATCCCAGGGTTAGTCCATTATTTACAACGTATGTGGTTGCTTGAGGCACGCGAACAGTAACACCTACAAAGGAAAATTAAGGAATGAACATCAGAATTCTACTGTAGATTTTTGTGGAATGCTGACTAAACACCTGATAACCATGAAGCAATGCTTTTAAAATTCAAAGGGAAAAAATCTTCCAACCTAAATGTCTACACCAGGCCAAAATATAATTTCAGTGTGAGGATAAAGAAATCTTTATATATGCAATACTGTGTGTGCCTGTGTGCACGTATGTGTGCATGTTTTTAAAAAATATTCTTAAAAAAAAAAAAAAGCTAATCCTTAGATGAACCCTTTCTTAGGTAACCACTGGAGAATATGTGCCACTCATATGAGAGGAAAAAAATGAAGAAAGAGGGAAAACATGACATATAAGAATAGAGTTCTAGTACAGAAAAAAAAATACATATCCCTCCTAGGAGGGTACAAACAAAAGTTCCATAACACTTGTACAACCTATGTAGAAGCCAAACAAGCCAGAAGGACCACTGTGACTCGAAAGACAAATGGAAGCAGTCTTTACAAGATCCCTCTTGGCTCACATTTTCAATGAGGGCAGAAAGCTCAAAAAGTTATCCTTGTTTTACATTACTGAGGTTCCTCTCTTTCCTTTCATGCCCCGCTGAGCAGTCAAAGATATTCACTTCACGCCACAGGAAACTGCTGTGAAATACCCCAGGTTACAAAAGTAAAAAATTTATAGAGTGATCTACTATTTAAACCATATATTTAGCATCTGGCAGTTCTGCCAGATCCTCTGACTGTGGTGCATATAGTTCCCCAGAACTCATTCACAATCACTGACAACCTATTTTCTTAAGCAAAACTATGATCCAAAGTCACAGCTTAATTTCTCCTGGAAGCTGTCATCCAATAATATTATTGCAGTTTCTTTACATAGCTAGACTTATCCTCACTATCAAATTTTTCAAAACTAAATTATATATATATATATATATATATACGTACTTTACACATTTTTTTAAGGAACACTAATATACAATAATATAAGAAACTACAAGGTTCCTGTTATGGTTTGTGTCCAGATGTTCCCCCAAAGCTTCATGCAGTCATGGGGTGAGCTTCTAGAGTTTATGATTGATTCATGGTCCAATGATGGGATTATGGGTGTGAGTGCTACAACTACCCTGGGGCAGGTAGCCTGCCTACAATGTAAGGAAGGGAAAGTGGCTTGCTCTCTGCTGCTCCTCCCTTTTGCTCTTGTTGCTTTTGCTATTTTCCGCCACCATGAACTGTTGCCCTCTGCCATATGCCACTCTTGGAGCCAGCCAAGTACGGACTGAAACTTTCACAAACTGTGAGCTAAATAAATCCTTCCTTTCTTTTTTTTTTTGTTTTTTTTTCCGGTACCGGGAACCAAACTCACGACCTTGCGCTTGCCAGGCAGGCGCTTTGCCGCTGAGCTAAATCCCCAGCCCCAATCCTTCCTTTCTTAAATCTGGCTGTTGGGTATTTTTGTCTCAGCAATGAAAAAAAAGTAACCAAGACAGTTCCTCTAATATTTTCATTTCTTTTCCACCTTTTATATCTTTAACACTTTCTTCCATTAGAAGCTACACTCTACCACAATTTCCATCATATGGGCTAAGCCACAGTTGATTATTCTTACTTTAATTAGATAGGGTGTCTCTTAACAGAGTACAGACCAACATCAAAGAAGGTACTACAATAGAACAGACCATAAATTAAGTTAAACATACAGCACACATGTCCAATTTTCTCTGATTTCTTAACGGAAGAAAAGTGAATTAGTAATAGGATTTGGGGGGTTATTTTTAAAAATTATGTTTAATTGAGGAAATTATGCATTTATGGTATACAATATTATGTTTTGAAACATGTATACATGTGGAACGTCTAAATCAAGCTAATTAACATATATACTACCAATTTTTAAGTACACAATTCACTGTTATCTATGCTGTAAAACTGTTCTATAGTAGATCTAAACTTATATAATAAGGGTCTTACTATATTCCAGAACTTTTTGTCAATCTAATATTAATATAAGCTACTTCAACTAAATGCTTAAGAGAACTACCTATACCCTCAGAACCACATATAAGAAAAGTGTCTCTTACTATTTTGAGGATTGACCTGACGAACAGCAGGAGCCTGCATAACAGTTCCTCGCAGGGGGGCCTGAGCTGGTGGTGCTGGGAGAGTTGTATAAACCACCTGATGGTTTGCAGGAGCTCTTGGTACAGGGAGTCTTGCAGTCACCTGAGTTACTGGACGATGTGTTACATTCACCGTGGTTGGAGCTAGTGATAAGCAGGAAAATGTATTAGGAATATAATAGATTTTATGTTAAGTGAACAGTATTAAATAGTAGCTATGCTTGCATAAAGTCTAATTAACTACAACAGGGAAAGAGGGCAACAGTCTTCTTTGTAATGCTGCAAGGAAGAATGACAGAGTTAACCAAATTAACAGTATTAAAATCCAAGCTTTAGAAAAAAAGAGTACCTCAATCATATCTAATTCTCTTCTAACTATTCAGTTTGCCTAGCTGACAATCATGAACATGTTTTTAAAAAGGACCTAGATTTAAGAATATGACTGCTACAAGAATGACTTAAAAGAGCAATTTTTTCCTCTTCAATTTTAAACTGTTCTTAGTAGGGTACAAATACTGGCCCTCTGAGCCTTCTCCCAAGGAAATACAAATCTAAAATTATACTGCTATTCCCACAGGCCATGAAGCTGGCTGGCTATTTTAATTAACATGTTTGCACATGCACACACACACACACACACATACGCACACACAACCTGTGTCTTTGGCTGCCTAGTATATTAGATTTTGTCTACCTCTCCCCTATTCCAGCATTCTTTGCATCTATGTCTCAGAGAGCACATTTTGAGCAACATTAACATATTTACTTTTAAAAACTGAGTCCTAAACATTTACTTACAATACGGAACTATAATCATGTAATACCTTCACTGGTTGTGATAGTGTGTGCCTGTAATTCCTTTGGAAGGTTAAGCCAGAAGGCCTGACAAGGGTTTGACGGCAGCCTGGGCTACATAGTGAGCTCAAGGTCATACTGAACTACATAGCCAGCCCCATTAAAAAAAAAAAAAAAAAAAATGTAATTTTTTTGGTTTAAGAGATGAGGGTCTATTGCTCAGGGTGGTCTCAAGCGCCTATGCTCAAGTGATCCTCTAGCCTTAGCCTCCCAAGTAGATAGGATGATAGGTAAATGCTAACAGGCCTGACAATAACAATGAATTTTTTTTTTCTTTTGGTGTTTTTTTGAGACAGGATCTCACTATGTAGCTCAGGCTGGACTTGCACTTGTGACAATCCTCCTGCCTCAGCCTCCCAAGTCCTGGGATTACAGGCATGTGCCACCATGCCCAGCAATAACAGTGACTTTTAAGAGTTAACTTTTTCTTGTTAATAACTCTCTAAATTAGAGTCACACTTCACAAATGATAATACAGTAACTATATAGTAGGAAATTTAATAGGTATTTTTACTTGGAACTTTTTTCCCCTCAGCACTGGGGATTGAACCCAGGGCCTCAGTACAAAGCTACATCCCCAGCCTTTTTATTTTGAAACAGGGTACCTCACTAAGTTGCCCAGGCTGGGTTTGAACTTATGAACCTCCTGCCTCAGACTTGCAGAGGGCTTGGATTACAAGCATGAGCTACCAAGCCTCCCAGAGAAAATGGAATCTTTAATAAAATAAATAAGTAAAACGTTTCTTTACTAAAAAGATCCTGCAGTCTAGGGATACAGCACAGTGGCAGAACGCTTCAGAGTCAACCGCTAGTGCCATAAAATAAAAAATAAATGCATCTAAAGACACTTCAGCCTTTACACATCTTAAGTTTTAATGTGAGCCTTCAGAAGAGGGAAGTATTCAGAAGAGGACAATTCGCTCTCATTACGCTCATGTATTTGCATTATGATATATCCTTCTGAAATATATAAATTAGGTAACTGTCATTATAACTTCATATGAATGCAAAGAAACAGATATCACTGTTCTGAAGGTTAAATTTAATAGTAACTACCTATTTAGACAGAACAGTAGTATTTGAATATGAGAATTAATATAAAAACTCTGTGCCAGAAATAAAGTCATACAAACACACTGTTTTGCTTGGCCATGTCAACAAAGTAAAATAACAGTTTAAATGATGGGAAATTCTGGATAACCATTTAGAATTCTAGAATCCAACAAACTTATACCAAACTATTAGGCATTTACTGCCTCAAAAACAATTCATAATTGAAAGGTTACCAAATAATTTACTACATCACTGGAAAATATCCCTTTTCCTACAAGTTATTCTGGTATTCTAAGTAGAAATTTCAATGAGTAAATCCCATTTTAACTCAATGTTTTCCTTAATAAGACAAGTGCTTACATACATGCTTTGCAGATACATCTCCAAGTAACAGCCTAATATGCAAGAAAACAAAGTTTCTTGATTGGCTTCTAAACAGTTTTGGTGACATAGGTTTTATCTTGAAAATGTTTGATTTATATTTTCTTGAAATGTAGCAAACGAAGTATTAGCATTTACTCCCGAACTATGTGTCAGGCCAGTTAAACGAAATTCAACGTAAGACTCAAATAATTCTTGCTTGATCAATTATAATATCTTGGCTGTACACAGAACAAATCATTTCATCCAGCTCCATCATTTCTGTTCTTCACAGTGGCAGGTGACAAAGACACAGAGGTTAAGCCTTCTTGGTAGCAATTCTCAACAGTGGTGCTACTTAAAACAGCAAAACTAAATGACATTGCCTTCAAAAGGACATACGCTATCTTCAAAGTAACAATGAGAATTACTCTTAATTTTTTGTCTAATCTTTCCACTCAATTCCAGTCACAATTCTCTGCAGGAAAAACTAGAGCCTGGTCAATGATTCAGAAATTTTACCTGTAGGTAGTAAGTGTATGGTAGTTTGAGAAGGTCCACTTGTCGGCACCCCAGATGGCTGAAGAGGTGGTGCTGGTTGTATGGGTTGCAATGGTCGAGACATGGGCTGAGAAGAACCCATGGTTGATACAGGAGTGTGACTGATTTTTTTGGAGTCTGTTAATTAAAAGTGACATATTATGATTAATGATAGGGAAACTTTAGAAATCATAGGTCTTTCCTTTATAGATGAATTTAATTTTTACTCACCACTTAGCTATCACATTTACCCACCTCTATGAGAACAATTTCTTTCAGAGGTATATTTTGGCTGATTTGAAATCCAAGCCAGGAGCTATTTAAATACTTGCACTGTTTCTTCTAAAAGATTTTCATTCACATTTACAGGAATGCAGCTATTTTTTTTTTTTTTTTTTTGCTAATTAAAGAAACTATTTTTGGATTCAATATACTATAGTATCAACTACACTAGCTGTGCTGCTTACCTAAATATATCTGTTAACTTCATACCTGTATCAGACACTATTCTCAACAAATACTGTAAATTGACAAGTTTTTTTCACTGAGGTTTTGAATTTCAACTACTCATTGTTGTATAAGGTTTGTTTGCTAACACAAATAGCTACTTTACCACCATTATCTAGTCTTTAAAATAAAATATACACACAATGTCTAGTCTTATGAAAAGGTCTTCAAAAGCCTATGCAATAAATGTTTGCATCTCAGATAAATTCCTTAAACAAACCACTCTGTAGCACTGAATAGTATGAGCCAAAAGTCTTTCCATCTAAAATGATGCTCACAGACTTCTTTTTTTTTGGTACTGGGAATTGAACTCAGGACTTCACGCTTGCCAGACAGGCGCTTATGCCACTGAGCTATATCCCTGGCCCTCACAGACTTCTGTCTTATGGAATTCCTCAATAAAATGAAAATAAAACTTAAAGCTTCAGCAACTCGTACTTTTGGTATTAGAGAAGAAAAATGTACCTTTGGAATGGGAGAATTTAGAGATAAATCCGAACATAGGCAATGGAAAGAGCACACAAAAGCCTTGGATGCTAGACAGTGAAATACCCAGAGTAATGAAAATGAGCTTGCTTACTTTCATATATGCCCATAAGAAAATAATGAAAGCACTACAGGCAACCTGGAACTCATAGAATAATCATACTGGTATGAGTTCAATCCTGGTAGATAAAATAAATTTCTCAATTTCCCATTTTGATTTCCAAAATTGAAATGAAATAACTTTTGTTATTATTAAATAATCAATTATACAGGTATTAATTTTCCTAAAACAAAAATATGACTTTTAACATCTTCAGTTTTTACAGTTCAGTATCTTAAAGGTTGCCCACTTAACATCTGACCTTACCAGACTGTCTGAATGCAACACTACTGCTATAGAGTTTTACATATATTTCTGTGAATGATTTTTTTGTAGTCAATTTTGTGAAATACTTTATATCCTGAATCATAACTAGAGATATACTGTAAATGCTATAGTATAATAAAGGTTCAGAAAAGCCTAAGGAAAAAAATTCCCATTGAAATTGAGTTCAGTATTTCCCATTTAATGATGGAACTTTTAATAGAATATCTATTAACAATGTAGAAGAATAAACCAGAATATAGTTTAATATTTACCCAGTAAGTTTCTAAATACTGTAACTCAGAACACTGAGAATTTCCAGTGTTAAATATATTTTCGTATTTACTTACAAAAGGCTAAAGAAATTAACTCAATCAAAATTAAATGTGTACACATTTATAAGTATCTACAGAAGGCAGGCACACACACATACAAAGAAAGAACATTTAATGTTGAGTCAAAAGACCTATATTTGATTACTAGGCCACTTATGATTCTGATATGTCCTCTCTAAATACTGCCAATTCCTTCAGGTCTAAAAAGAGTATGATGAGGTTATTGCAAGGACAAAGTAAAATAACATAAACAAAACAGAAAGTGCTCCCTAAACTAAATATTCTCTTTTTTTTGTTTTTTTTTTTTCCGGTCTTTTCTTCCGGTACCAGGAATCGAACTCATGACCTTGCGCTTGCCAGGCAGGCGCTTTGCCGCTGAGCTAAATCCCCAGCCCCATAAACTAAATATACTCTTAACTGCTATTTTCCTCTATACCTTGCTCATATTCTTCTCAAGATCTGACTTCTATGTGTTAATTCTAATTTTAGAAACTCTCATTTTAAACAGGATACAACCTACCAAACATAATGCTGTAGAAATCTGTCTACACAGAATACTGTAGTATATGAAGACAGAAAATGAGAGCAAGGCACTCCATAATACCATTACTAATTAAGTACCTTGTGAAGATCCACTTTCTTCATCATCCATTGTGAGATCAATGACACCACCTGAATCACTGCCAGTGGCTTTTCCACCCTGAAAAACAAAACAACTGCATTCTGCAAAGGAAACTGGCAGGTATAAAGAAGAAATGTAGTAATAATTAAGAGAAAAAGGAATAATGAGGATCCTGGTTCAACGAGGATCCCCTAAATGGATTTATGTGATGAAATAGTTTTGATATTCATGAGTTAAATGCCTGCCATGAAAATACAACTTTTATTTTCAAAAGAAATTCTAGACTTTTGAAAGAATTAATACCACTTTCATAGAGCTGCTGAAATGATTAGATGTTTGAAATGCTGAGATTGACTACAAGCATCATTTATTTTCTGGCACTTGAAATGTTATTTCTAAATTATCAATTAGAGCCAGGTATTGTGGCACATGCCTGTAATCCCAGCACTCAGGAGGCAGAGGCAGGAGGATCACTGTCAAGTTCGAAGCTAGCTTGGACTACAAAGTGAGTTCAAGGCCAGACTGACCTGCATAGCAAAACCTTGTCTCAGAAAGACAAAAAAAGAAAAATTAAAATAAAATTTAAAAAGGGGTAGGTAGGGTCAAAAGCAGATTACAGGAGACAGGAAAAACTCATGAAAATTGATGGTAGATCAACAGAAATTTTTAAGTCTAAAAAACAGAGAGAAAAAAAGGAATAAACATGAAAACTCTCCAAGAGCCATTTAAGAAGAAACATTTCAGTAAAAATCTAATTGACAGGAAAGAGATCAAAATTATTTGAAGAATTAATGACCAAAGACTCCAAAACTCGTAAAAAACAATTTAACTGACAAATTCAACAAGTTCAATAAACCTCAAGCAAGACAACCATTAAGAAATTCACTCCAAGATGTACTGTAATCAAACTACCCAATACAAAGAAAATGCTGGCGTCAACTAGAAAAAATTACATGTTACAAAAAAGCAAAGTTACTCCTCTTGCTCAGAAACTATGAAAGCAAGACAACACTAAACAATATATCTAAAACACTTGTAATTTCTTTAAACATCTAAACTTAGAATTTTATATCCAACGAAGCTCTCCTGGAGAAAAGAAACCATTGGTGGAGTGCCTGCCTGGCAAGCTTGAGTTCCAGAATTTGAGTCCCAGTACACTTCCCCCGCAAAAAACAAAAAAGACACTTTGGTTTAGATACATTAAAATCTAGAAAACTCACCACTAGCAGATTCATCCTGTAAGAAAATTTTAAGGAAATTTTGCAGTGTAAAAGGAAATACCAATTTGGATTATGGAAAGGAAAAGGGGACAAGAAAAGGTAAAGGTGAGGATAAATATTAGACTATATATCTTCTATTCTTAATTTCTTTAAACTTTAAAGGTCATTAAAAAATAATGTATTTGTAAATTTATAACATGGAGATGTGATATAGAACATAGTATGTAAAGATAATACCATTATTTCAAAACAAGAATGTAACACACAAAGGGAGCAAATGTAAATATAAAACTGAAAAATTCCCATCAGTAATCTAAGTAATTCAATATTAACTCTAAGAATAATGGTATGATTTTAAGATTTAGATACGTATTAATAAACCTGAGGGAGTCAGCCACAGTGTCTAGTTCTAGTCATATGTGTCAAATTCCAGCTAACTAGGAGGCTAGCATGAGGATAACAAATTCAAGGTCAGCCTGGGCAATAAGGCTAGACTCCTACTCTAATACCAAAATAAATGAACCCAACACATGCCCGAGCTGCCTGGGGACACTGCACCAAGTGGTGCACAATCAGCAAGCACCATGGTTCGCCTCTGGGCCCTGCTACATCAGTTGTCTTGAGACCCCAGACACTGAGGCCCGCAATCTGTAGTCATCACAGTGGCTGAGCCCGAGAGAGTCAGGTACACTCAATCACTTCCTGGGGACAAGAGACCAGCTGGCCCATGATCCTGCTGCTATTGCAGTCCACACCTGGGCCCTGTGTGTGCTCTGAGCTGCCTGGGGATACTGGACCAGTTGGTCTGTAATTGGCAAGGACAGTGGTTCACCTCTGCGCCCTGCCTGCTATATCAGCTGTCTGGAGACCCCAGACACTACAGTCCATGATCTGCTGTCATCACAGTTTGCAGCTGAGCCCCAAGAGAGCCTGGTATGCTGCATCAACTTCCTGAGGACAACACAACAGGCAGGCCATGATTCCGCTGCCATTGCTGTTCTCCTATGAGACCTGGGAGAGCTGGGTACACTCCACCACTGCCTGGTGACCCCTGACTTAGCAGACCATCTCCGTGACCACTGAGGGTCAAGTCTGACCCCCAGAAAACTCGGGACGCTAGGGATCTTCGGCGAGCTGCCAGGGAAGAAGGAGACTGACCACTCAGCCTACGGAATTAAAAATGACAAAACAAAGGACCAAAATGCAATCTCAGAATTCCACCCCAACCCAGAACAAGTCCAGGAGACATCGACATAGGAGAACATGGTAATCACACCCCTGAAATTGCTGCAATGACTGCAAGGTAGGTAAAGAAACAACTCCATCAGGCCATAGAAGAAATCAGATCAGAAATAATCTCTCAGGTAAAAAAATGAAATGACAACAATAATGAAAGAATTGCTCAGCACATCTAAAGAAGACATATATAAAAAAAATAAATGAGCATAGCAAACTGGTGGAAACATTAAATGAAAAATATAGGAAAGATCTAGAATGCACAAAACAGATTCAAAGAGATATCCAGGAAATCAAAATTTCCATCAAAAGCTGGAAAAACCACTTCAATGAAGCCGACGATGATATTTCGGATCTTGAAGACAGCATTGCAGCTAACTATAATGAAAAGAAGGATCTCTTAAAATTAACAAGGAACCAGGAAATATCAATTCAACAGCTGCAAGATGATGCAAAAAGAAATAATGTAAGACTAATAAGTGTCAATGAAACAGCAGGAGGAAACACGAATGACCTAAAAAGAGTATTTGCAGAATTAATAGCAGAAAATTTCCCAAGCAGGCATACAGAACTCCCACTAGCCATAACCAAAATAAAACTAACACCCAGACACATAATGAGATCCCAGAAATCCAGCAAAACAACAAAGTACTAAAAGCTGTTAGAGAAAAGAAACAGATCACCCATAAAGGAATCAGAACCACAGCAGATTTTTCAACACAAACTATCTCATAGAGAAGAGGTTGGAGTGAAGTATTCCAGGTCCTGAGACAAAACAGCTTCCAACCAAGACTGATGTACCCTGCAAAACTATCCTTCAGATTTAAAGAGAAATAAAATATTTCCATGACAAAGAACAACTGAAGAACTTCATGAGCACCAAACCACCTCTACAGAGAGTACTAAAAGATATTCTAGAAAGAGATAAAAATGACAATTCTAAGAACAACAATAGAAAGCAACTACAAAGCAGAGCAAGCAATTAAACAGAGAAAAAAAGTAGGAAATCAAGAGCAAATAAATAACATGACAAAGATAAGTCAATACATATCAGTTATAACCATTAATGTAAAGGGCCTGAATTCACCAATCAAAAGAAACAGATTGGCAGAGAAGATCAAGAAAAAAAAAAAAAAATCCAACAATATGCTGTATACAGGAAACAATTTAACTCAAAAGGAAATTCAGAGGCTGAAAGTCAAAGGATGGAAAACAATTCTACATGCAACAGAAACTTAGGAAAAAAACAGGGGTAGCTATTCTGTTTGTAGACACTGTGAACCTCAAAGCAAGAACAATCAAAAGAGATAAAGACGGCCACTATGTACATGTTAGGGGAAAACTGCAAGAGGAAGAGATAACAATCATAAATACGTGTGCACCAAATATGGGAGCACCAAACTATATAAGACAAATCTTAATAGACATGAAAAACCAAGTAACTATTAATACTGTTGTAATAGGGGACCTAAACACACCATTGACACAAAGACAGGTCAACTAGACAAAAAAAATCAGCAAAGAAATAACAGATCTGAACCAAATCTCCAAACAAATGGACTCAGTAGATGTTTACAGAGTGTTCTACCCCACAGCATCAAAATATACGTTCTTCTCAGCTACACATGGGACATTCTCTAAAACAGACTCCATTCCAGACCACAGAGCATGCTTAACTAAATGCAAAAGAACTGAAATTATCCCATGGATATTACCTAACCATAGTGCAATGAAATTGGAAATTAATGACAAAAGAAACCACAAAAACTCCATAAACACATGGAAATTAAATAACAACCTCCTGAACAACCAATGGGTCACAGATGAAATTAAAGAAATTAAATAATACCTACAAACAAAAATGTAAATACAACTTACCAGAATCTGTGGGATACACTGAAAGCAGTCCTCAGAGGGAAATATACAGCAGTGAACTCACACATAAGGAAAACAGAAAGAGAACAAATAAATAGCCTAATGCTACACCTGAAACTTTTACAAAAAGAAGAACAAGTCAAGCCCAAAGAAGGGAGAGATTATAAAGATCAGGGCAGAAATTAATGCAATAGAGATGAACAAAACACTAAAAAAATTAATAAATCCAAGAGTTGGTTCTTTGAAAGAATAAATAAATTGATAATGCCCTAGCCAACCTTAACAAAAAAAAAAAAGAAAAAAATGAAATTCATGCAATAAGGAATGAAAAGTGTGAAATCACTACAGATCCTACAGAAATTCAAAAGATAGTCAGTACCTACTTTGAAAATCTTTACTCCCATAGGATGGAAAACTCAAGAGAAATGGATAGATTCCTAGATACATGGATTACCAAAGTTGAATCAAAAAGATATAAAAATCATGAATAACCCAATTAATGAGATTAAAAATGTGACTGAAAATTTACCAACAAAGAAAAACCTAGAACTGATGGATTCACAGAGAAATTCTACAAGAAATTCAGAAAAGATTTAATGCCAGTACTCCTCAAATTCTTCAATGGAATTGCAAAGGAAGCAATTACCCCTAACTCATTTCTACAGGCAAGTATTATACTGATACCAAAACAAGAGAAACACCCAATCAAGAAAGAAAATTACAGACCAATCTCCCTAATGAACATAG